TTAAGGCATTCCGCGACATTCGTGCACCCGCTGAGCAAGCTAGATGCAAACGTGCAGCGGGCCGGCATTCAGAATGCCATGTCATGGCGGCGCATTTCAGGTGATGATGAAAGCCTGGAAACGACAAGATTTTACTGGCAAGCAGCAGTTGGTGTGCTGACTAGTCACCCACATTTTGGGCGTGTTGGTTCTCGTAAAAGCGGTCAACCGTTAGTCAGCACTGCTTGTGCGTGACTTTTCACTTCTTGACGCACTGATTAATTTGGTAATTTGGTATAATACTCTCTCCACCTGCCAAGCGCGGCCAAGCCCAACATCTTGCAGCCGCTGGCTCGCTTGTAGGTCTCAATGTCTGGAAGGCAAAGTACATCTGCGTGCCCTCGGTTTTCCTCTGCTTTTCTGGCACACACGTCATGACATGATGCCTTGCCCTCCGGCGCGACTACATGGTGATCACGATGATCATGATTACAACGATGATGATGATGATGATGATGATGATGATACCGCTGCAGCTGTCGCTGCCGCCGCTGCCGCTGCTTTCTCTCGTGGCGCTGTTGCAGCGCTGCTGCGGAGGAGGGTGATGATGATGGATGAGTTTGCTTCATAATCTGTCGCACGATAGATCTTACGACTTTCCCACTTACATACGGTACAAAATGCGGCACAGCAGAACCAAACCACTCTAGGCATCCACAATCTTGAGTAATGTAGATGAAAGAAGAGATCCGGATTTCATCAGCACAATGATTTGCTCGCAGATGCAGTTAGGGATCCCACAGTCATAACGAGAAACGAGGGCAAGCAGAAGTCGTAGAGGATGTATTGTGGGACTGTTTTGCTGCTGTCCTGCGCAAGGCAGACTCATGACGATGTCGCTTGCCGCTCACTACGTGTTCCATCGATTGTCCTGGGCTCATGCGAGGCAACAAGAACTCTGACGGGAAATGTCACCCCTAGCAGACCACAGGTTGTGAGGTCCGAAAATGCCACCGAGTTTCAGACAGAAAAGGTCGGCAGGCAAGTTCTGACCTGGGCTGAAGAATGGGCTTCAATGCAATTCTATGCACCTCCAGCATCTCTCCAACAGTATCCCCATAAACTTCTGTGTCCCCCCGCCATGCTAGTCTTAGACGTTGCTATTTGGATGAGGCTGTGGAAAGTTGCACCGAAACGGCCTACTGGCCACTAAGGTTTCAGCCCGCAGCATACCCCGGCCACGATGAAAGCCACATTCGGCAGTGCCAAAAGAGTTCGAACGCGCCTGCGTCCGGTGGGTGCTCCTGACAGGCAAACAACTGAGGAACTCCTTCGCTGACAGCGGGAATGTGACTTTGCAAAAACAGGATTCATATGATGGTTCTGCGACCACAGTCGAAAGAAGTACACTCCACTGGCATGAGGTCAGAAAGTCTTATACACTGCCACGCAAGCCCTCAGCCTACGATGAAAAGCGGGCGCCAACCGAACTGCTCCCAGCGACTCCGCATTCCCGAAGAGCGGTGCCGAAGAGCGGTGGCATGCAGAATTCCACTATATCCCACTGCAATCACATATTCAGACACTGTGATGATGCAGTAGACATTGCAGAAGTCACTTGTAATTTGCACAGGCTTGCAGTGGACCAATGCAAATAGAATCACCAAACCATGGATGCATGTCGTGCGCCTCCATCTCGGTGGAGTCTCGACGGGTAAAGTTCAAGGAGCCGGATAGGGTCGTATCCTCCAGGCTCAAGGCTCAGACGCTTCGGGCGTCGGAGGAGTTAAATCGGATTCTAAATTTGGCAATCGGATGGCTGCTCCCAGCCAGAAAGCGGGGTGATACCAGTTAGCCCCTGAGATGCATTCTGTCCTCTGAAGGGAAGCGCGCCGACTTGTCCATCCTGGGTTGTCCCCCAGAATGTATCTCCTGAGCGTTCTGCAGAAAGTCGAGCACACGATCGGATTACAAGTGGAGATCTTGGAATACGTTTGTTCCGCACAGTCCGGGAGTGCTCGAGTGGATCGGGCGATGAAGTGTCCACGTTTGAGTAGGGTCTCCCTTTGTCTTTCAATCCCTGAAATGCGTCTGGCAGGACAGGACGCCTGCAAAGGTCTAAGGGCGAGGGCGGTTATTGCTTCTGCGGAAAGAGGAAACCTCCTGCTTTTAGGAGCTGTTGTACAAGTGGCTATGCGCCATCCGGGAATTGGCATGTGATTGACACCAGGGCACCTGACTCCAACAACTGGCCGCGCCTTCGCAGCCACAGCGCAATGGATCCCAATCTCATTACTAATATGACAACTTTTTTTGCCTGCAGTGGCCAGCAACTCTAGAGGAAAGGAAACATGTTGCAACCAAGCGGCCAAGTCCTCTTGAATATTCCCGAAAATTGAATCTAGGCACCTCGGCTGACCCTAAACCCTAAACCCTAAATACTTACTCATTCCTGGCTCAAAGATGCCTAATGTAGACCCATGATTAATATAGGGGTAATATTGGGATTATGTGAGGATAATGGAAAAGAACATGGAAACTACTGTTCAGGGTTTTGTGTAAACCAATGATTAATAAACCCTCTCCTTTTAACGGCCTTAATATTAGGATCCCTATTACAATCCCTATTAGGGGGATGGGGTTTATTAATCAGGGGTGCACATTAGTGCTTATTGACATAAGACTAGCATTATCAAAACAGGCTCTTGTCCGCACTGGTATGTCCGGCGTGAGAGTCGTGTGCAGCAGCCATGCATGCCCTCTATATGCAGGCCCTTGCAGCCGAGACACGTGTCCAAGAAGTTCTTCTCCTTTTTGGAGAAACGCAGCAGCCTTGTGTGGCTCTCTTGGCTGCTACAAGAAGGTGGGCATTTCTTCTGAAAGAGGAGCCGCACATGCAAATCAGTGTCACTCTCAAAGTGAAGAATCCCGAAGAATGATCCACGCCTGTCATATCTCTCTTTGATCCTCTTTGGGCTGCAGCCTCACAAATTCCCACTGAGAAGCTCGAACTTGTCATTGTGCAGCGTGTTGGCCTGCGACTGCGAAAGCAAAAACTCAACAACGGTTCCGCAACTCAGGTCATCCCGTCTTGTCGTGGCGATAAGCTGGGATAATGGTAATTGCATTACAGTCCTACTAGGCTTGCGTTGTGCCAGTATTCGTGGTTGAAGGGGGACAACCTGGACTGTAGGAATGCACAGTGCAATTGATATGGCATCCCCGCAAAAGGTTGAATGAAATGTTCCTAATGTTCCTAAACACTTACACTAGCTGACGGGTGACTCAAAAAAATGGCATGATCCCTACATCTATTCCAGAATACCTGTGGGTTGGCCCCTCAGAGCAACTGCGCATAAACCCTAAACTCCAAACCAAAATTCTTGGTTGGGCGTGGTTGGGCAACGTAGGGATGCTTCGCGCTTATGCTCTGAGTTGGTACTGTCGGTTCGGCGCCCCTAAACCCTAAACCCTAAACCCTAAACCGTTTGGGGTCAGACGCACTCGGGTGTGAATCAAAAATATCGCAGGATATCGTTCATGATAATGAAACTAACGGCTGAGATGGTACTTGCCATAAATGGGTTTAGGGTTTAGGGTTTAGGGCCTCAATGTAGACCCCCAAACACTAGCCCCATATACCTTTAAATCGCCATATAACCCCAGCTTCCATGTTATTTTCCGTGTTCTTTTCCAGTTGATTCTCCATCATTGGTGGTAATATCCCTAAATCCTAGACCCAGAATGGTAGTTTCCATGTTCTTCTCCATTATCCCCAGATATGACCCCATACAAGCCTACAGAAACTTACAAAATCCAGTAAAACTCCATGACACCGTATCTAACGCTATATAATTCTGTGTATATATATATGTGTGTATATATGTATATGCCTATCATGAATGATAAGAACCGACTCTGATGCGCGAAGCCAGTGCAGGGACCGCTGACCTTGGCCCAGGAGCTGCAGAACCAGACCACCATCCCAGCAGCAGTAAGCCCTGCGGAGAACCACCTCGGTGAAGGGAGGTTTGTTGTAAACAATGGGGGACAAATACGTTCCCCATTTGCTCATTTTTGACCACTTGTTGAGAACGGCTTGTTGTTGGGCTGCTGGGTCCCCACAAGCTTGCACTTAAGGCTAAACAAGCGCTGGGTGTGGTGTGAAAGTAAGTGTCCGTCAAGCTTACCACCATCCTCTGAGGGCAGCGCTAAGTCACCCTCAACTACCATTTTCTAACAAGCACACACCTGTCCTCTCAACCCGAAGCGGTTTAGTCATTGCAGCCGGGCCCACTCAATGGCCTTCAGAGGCACGCTGGCTGTCCAGCGGTCCCGGAAGAAGGTGCGGGCGGTGAAGTGCACAGATGTGCCGATCGCCAGCCAAAGCCCAGCGACTATCATTCCTTTGGGCCAGGGGAAGTGGGGGGGAAGTCCCGTGGCTTTATCCCAGGGTTGGAAGCTCTGAACTTGTCGGTCAATCTCCCAAGTCAGCCAAGCTATGACAAAATCCGTTTTGCACCCTTTCCCAGCAACTTCAACTTTAGCTGTGCTGCTCATGATGAACAGCACGCGGGGGATGAAGAAGCCCTGGCATCCACCAGCGAGACAGTCATGTGGGCAATTTTTGGGTAAATGACACCAAAGCCCTACTTTAAGCGATCTGACCCTTGTCTAGTGGTTGCTCTTGCTCCGAGCCCATCAATCGTCTGTCTTTGCCTATATCGACTCAACAACAAAAAACAGCGGCAGATCAGCATTGTATGTTCACATCAGTCAAACAAGAAAACCCTCAGATTGCCAATGCTTCTTTCAAGCCATCAAACTCTGGCACTGCTGTGGAATCGTTTTCGTGCTCAGGGCGCAATCGGGGCTTGATTGTCAGTCAGGCCTGATTGAAAGTTGAGCTCTCCCTGGCATCAACTGCAAACAAAATCCACGCTGTAATCTGACGACTAACCTGCGATTCGTCATGACTAAATGGAGAGACTCGCGTGCGGAAAGCTGTGCAAAAGCCGCCGTCAGTCTCGCATGTCAACAGAACCCTCCTCAGAGTCAGTCTCTGACTCCTCAGAATCACCCTCGTCATTGGGGTGAGAGGCTACCCCTGATTCCTCAGAATCATCTTCAAACGGGTCACGGTCAATCAGGACACTTGTGTCTGTTTGTACAATTTCTTCGAGACTGAACCCTGCACTCCGGATACTGCCAAAGTGTATCCAGATTTGCTGAAACGTCTCATGTCCAACCTCATCTCGGACTTCTTGCAGCAACTTGATTGTTCGCCAGCGGTGGAAGTATGCAAGGCACTTTTCATCGTCCACCTCGTCCCCCTCCTCCCAGTTCTCACCTAGCCAAGCCGGGTCCACGTCCAGAATTTGGGTCAGATACCTTGTTTCAGAGAAAATGAGACATGACGAAGCACCAAAGCACGGACAGCTAGTGGATCGCTCACAGCGTTTAGCTCCAAGTCTTAAGGGGGACTAGCGGAGTGAATATAATACAGGAGCTATTACAGGGGTATATTATACATATATATATATATGTGAACATGTGTTTATTATATCGGACTGGTATGAGGATCCACTCCCACTCCCGACTCTCCCTTTAGCACCAGTAAGCAGCCAGAGGTGCATGGGGCAGCGCAGCGGATTGACCTCCCAGTCAGCGTTGTGAAGAAAGATGTCGTTGTTTGGCTGGCCAGGTCTTGGCGGCTTCTTGTCGCAATCCTGCTTTTGTTTCAGTGGTTTAGGGATTTGGGGTCAGGGTTGAGGGTCTGAGTGCCAGAATAGTGGAGAGTCAAATGGAAAAGAAGATCTAAAAATAAATCAAACGGAAGCGGGGATTACATGTTTCGGTGGTTGTCAAAATTCTGGTCCCTTTTCGGATCCATATTCTAATACGGCACCTAATATCTAGGTTACCCAAAAAGGGACAATAATTTTGACAACCACCCATTTATTGGCCGGAATCACTCGGTGTTTCTCTTGCATCCTGTTGCCTGTTTTTGCATTGGTTGCTGGCCTCGGCAGACAGGCCACATAGGTAGCACCAGGAGGTGTGGCATCTGGGACAGCCTCAGCTGCGACATCCTGCTGTAAATCCCTATGAACCCTATTCTATAAGCCCTGCTTCCACTTCGTTCTCTATGCTCTTATACATTTGATGCTCCATTATGAGGGTAGTATCCCTCAACCCTCTAACCCGTATATTCTGATATAGCCTCCATACATCCCTATAATCCGCCTATAATCTGCCTGGCACAATCCTCTACAATCTCTACACTCTACAATCCATATCTGGTCCTTACAAGATCCGCCTATAGTCCTTACATGCGCTCTGACTACAACGATCACTATCGCGGTCATGCCATCAACCCTGATCCCTAAGCTCTAATGATTGCAAGCCGGGTATCTCATGTGGGTGCAAGCCTCATCCTTACGCCCTGCCAGGCCGCAACCCGGACACGGCATCTTCTGACCCGCTTCCAAGGCCTGAAGTATGGTTTTGCAAGTATCTGATAGCTAACTAATCCTCATGTTGTCTGTATACATGGCCATGATGGTTCGTACATACCTTCTAGATTATTCTGCTATACGGGCGATGATGCCGAATAACGTAGTGGTGGAGATGTTATCGACTATGTTGCCACTCTGTTCCCTTTGTTGTTGGCCAGCTTCCAAATGCTTCTAGTTGTCAAAGTCTTTGGTGTGATGCTTGGATCAGGGCATGCTGGCTGCACGAAGTTGGCTCAAAAGGACGTACCAAGCATCTGTCCATGGGGCGAAACTTAAACTAAAGCCAGCTACTTGATTTCGGCTTTTGGAGCGTATCCCCCTTAATAACCCCTATAGTAGTCCCCTCAATAATCCCCTATATTATTAAGGAGTTTAGACTATAGCTCACTTCGTGTTTTGTAACCCCCAGCGTATGGACATCCTCTCCAATGCTTAGCTTCTTCTCTGACAGCCTGAAGGGGTGGAGCCTGAAGGGGTGGAGCCTGAAGGGGTGGAGCCATGCAGACTCTGCTGCCCATGGGATACTGGAAACGAAAATGGCAACTACTATATTATAAAATCGGGTATATACTGGGGTCATAATAAGGAATATTGGAATATATGTTATAGGGATTATCTATGAAACCCTGAGAAGCGGAATCAAATGCTCAACACTGGGGATTTCTGAGCTAAGCTTCATCGCATGGAGGTGTCAGCAAAAAACTCACCACATGGCCAAATGGATGAGTTGTTGTTGAAAACAGCGATGTCTCGTATTACAGTTTCGGGTGCGCTCTTGGACAGATGCCACTGAATTGAAACACATCATAGGGAATATGCCCACTTGGAATCGCTTCTTTACTAGAAATGGATTTTATCATCTCACATTGCTTCTCCACAAAGGTCACGAGGGACTTGCGCAAATACCAACATTTCAACAATTCCTTCGCTTGGACTGCTGCCCTTAATGTCTCTGTTGAAAACTGAAGAGTGAAGTTCTTCTCTTCCTTAGCTGCACTCACATCACACAAGATAGAGCGGTGCTTCTTCTAGGCATCCCTCTATCGGCTTTAAGTCTGGCGAACAAATCCTGGAACACACATCTCCATACACTCCCGGGCGCACTCTTAACTTCATCCCTGCACGCACCTCTAGCTTCCTGATCCCTAAACCCAAACCCTAAACCCCTAAACCCGAAACCCTAAACCCCTAAACCCCTAAACCTCAAACCCCGAAACCTCTAAACCCCTTAACCCCTAAACCCCTAACCCCTAAACCCTAAACCCCTAAACCCCAAAAAACTTGGGTCTCAAGTCTGGCAGGGCCTGATCAACTTTCCGCTTCGCATCGCGTAGGCGGCTGCAGCCCAGCACCTGAGCAAAGCCACATCCCAGAGCTCAGGGCTCAGGGGTCAGGGGTTTAGAGTTTAGGGGTTTAGGGTTTAGGGGTTTAGGGGTTTAGAGGTTTAGGGTTTAGGGGTTTACGGTCTAGGCCTGAAGCCCTATCTCATGGTATATTGGGATTAAAAGGATAATTTAGGGTTTAGGGGTTAGGGTATATTGGGGTTATAAAGGGATAATGGAAAAGAAAATAGAAACTACTATATAGTATATTCACGTAGGAATTCTAAGAGACCACCAGTACAACATGGTTCCTACTTGCATAGAAGTATGTGCGGAAAGGTCATATTTAGATGTATGTACGCATGTATGTGGGCAGGTAGGTATATATGCATGTCTGTTGCTGGGTGCCTCAACCACCTATGGATGGCCCAACATATCCAACAATCCCAAAGCAGTTCATGATTAAAACACGCCCGTGTTTGAAATCGCATGTGCCAAACAGCAGGCCAGAGAACGTGCGGTCGTAGTAAGATGTCCATCGCACGCTTCTCCTCTTCTGTTTGACGGCTAAGGGCGCCCAAATCCTCAACAATGAGCTCTTGCAAAGCTAGGGTAATACCTTCTTCTATTTAAAAGCACAATGAAAAGTTTGTTAAGTAAGCCCATGGATCCGCTTGTTCACAGGCGGACGGCAGTGACTGGTTGCAAACTTGGCATTCCCCACGCTTGCACATCGGACACCACCAGAGAACAGGCTTGTCAACACGTACTTCCATGTAGCCACAGGGGCACCGCAGCATGGTCTCGTTTTCACACAAGGATCTTTGGGCCACAAACTCAGCAAGGTGTTGCTGCTGCCGTTGGCTGAGCTGCCGCTCAAAGGATTGTAAAGGAAGCTCTGCGCGGCACATGGAGCACTTGGGCGGATAGGAAGCCTCCAAATCGTTCATGACAGAATGCACATACACACCTGTGCATTCACTGCACAGAAAATGAGAGGACGGGCAGCAAATTCCCTCTCCAGAATCACCACTCACTGTGAACTCGCATTGACAAACCGCACAAGTCTCTTCTTTCTCCTGGCCCTTGCCTCCCTTGCAGCCATCCCCCTTCACTTGACCTTCACGTGCTCGCGCCGCGGCGGCTGCCTTGGCGGCTTCCTGAGCGGCCTTCTTCCTCTGGTACGTGGCAGCGACAGCACGTCGGACTTCAAGTCGTTCCTGATGCAAGCTGGCGGCATCACGGGCAAGTTCAGGGCCTGAAGCAAGCTTTCCCCACCAAGCTTCTGTCTCACTTCGTGGAAAACAGGAGATCGCATGACTTTTCCAAGCGGCGGCCTGGCAGTCCTGATCACAAAACCAGGCCGCCTGGCAACGGGAGCACCGCTTTGTAGCCTCCTCGCTGCCGCAGTTCACGCAGGTTCCTGTAAGCAAGGGCCGGAGGTTGCCACCAACTTCGTCATCTTCACAACTCATGCTGTCCCCGGTCTCATCATCGGTGTCGTCTTCCTGAGCCTGTTTTGAGTGCAACGGAAGCGGAGCTTGAAAGGGAACTTGCGGCATCTCCTCATCAGATGAGACCTCGGCAGCCATTCGCTCCCATTTGCTGTAGTCGATAGTACCCAGCCGTGCCATGTCTCCACAGGCCCTGGGTAATCGGCTACTGCGCTGCTGAGCTTTCCCCCGCAGAGCGCTTGAGAGCAAACAAGCTGCGCAGATTCGCTAGAAGTGTGCTAGCACCTTCATATCAGGCAGCAGCCACACAGCAAAGAGATGCACATCGCTGAGGCCTGACTCTCAGGACCACATAGGAAGCTGCGCACAGACAGGATGTGAAGGTCGATTCCTGAATGCTCCGGGCACGCCCATGACAAAAATCCTGGATGAGTTATAGTCAAAACTCCTTAAAGGGAGCCATGTGACGGAAATGTTATAGGAATCACTAAGGGGGATACTAGGACTTTAGACTACAGCTCATCTGACCCATGCAGGCTGGGCTTGTCTAGTTCCAGGCCGGCTGTTAGGGGCCAAGCTGCGGTACTTCATCGCAAAGAAGAGGGTACCGCAAGGCAGCAGCGAGGGAACGAGAACGCCAAGACACACGGCCTGAAGATTTACAGGATGCAGAGCTTCGGGATCATTATTCAGGGGTTCGCAGTTAGGGGTGAAAGATTCCGGATTATTCCAGCTTGTGCGTCTCTCGGAAGGCAGCACATCTCGAATTCATGACTCTTGTCTTGGGCTCCCGATGCTTGCTGCTTAATGACACTGGTCGGGCATGACATGATGTACTCACACCCAGGCGGTTGCATAGTGGTTTTAGCTTGGGGTCTCTGGCTTCAAAATCCCAAACACCCAGAGAACCTAGGCGCTCAATAAATGATGCATGTCAGTTGCTCGTGCAAACTCTTGGCACCGCAATCCCCTGCATATGACAGCTTGGGCATCTGGGTCTTGCTGGCGTCGAACACATCAAGCCAATGCTTCAACGTGGCAGTCGTCAGAATTGCCAAGGTGAAGGCGTACCAGTATCCTGCATGTGCCACAGTCTACATCTCTGCCAATGTGGTGTCGTTGCTCAAGCACATCTAGACATGTGGAGATGTGCCGGCTTGGGGAGCTCCGACAGAACTCCCAGAAAATGATCTGAAATACGGTGACTTAAGAGGATCCTTCAGCTGCAGCTTCAGTGAACTGGCGCTAAACGCTAAAACTGCAAGCAATGGGATTCTGAAACCAGCCAGAGTTCCCCAGGCAAAGATCCACGGCTCCGGTTGCGCAAGCAGCCACCGCACAGTAAGCTGGGTAAGATTCCTTAGAGTAAGATGCTTCTTCCGCCACTCTGTTCTTAACTTAAACCACAGCAGAGTTCTTCAAAATCCCAAATGGACCCTACGAGCACAGATCATTTGGAGCCACTAGTTTCCGTTCTGCAAGTCACTGCAACCCTCCTAAGGCCAAATGTTGCTCCCACAGTAATTGCACGCTGAGGCTCAGCAAGCTGTTAGTGTTGGTCAGGAAAGTGCAGTTTAGCAAGTACCGCACCTAGGCTGCCAGTTGTGAAAGGCATCACTTTCTGGCCAGCATGCAAAGCGGGCGGGGGATTTGGAAATGGCGGGTCAGTTGTTGGGGGTCCCGATAAGAAGGATTGAAGAATGATTACAATATGTTGGGGTCTACTTAGGGGCCCGATGTGGGTAGCTAAATGGCAAACACCTCGTGGGAGTTGACGGGGAAGAAGGTTCAGGGTCCTAGGAGGATATGTAAGGGTCTAGGGGAATGGAAAAGAAATGGAAACTACTCCCCAGATCCTAAATCCTAAACCCTAAAGCCGAAACCCTAAATCCTAAACCCTAAACCCCTCACTCTGGCGTGGTTATTTTCCCCACTCCAATGGCCAGGACGCGTAAAACAGGCCAGGTGAACTGAACATGCTTCCATCCAGCAGCTGCAGAACTGAAACGTCCTGGGCTAAGGATGAAAAACCTACTTACTGTTCAAAAAGATGGCTCTTCTCAATGCAATTGGGTGGTTGTCAAAAATTATGGTCCCTTTTTGGATCCTCATTATACTAGGGCACCTAATATTTCGGGTACCCAAAAAGGGATCATAATTCTGACAACCACCCAATTGAGCTAGCCGCCTGAGGGCTGGATTGGCCGTTGCGACCAACCAGTTGTTACTGCGAGGAATCTTGGTAGTAGTCATTTTTGGTTATATAGGGGATATAGGGATAATGGAAAAAATGGAAACTATAGGGTTTATAGGGACTATATAGGGGTTATATTGGGTTATGTAGGAGTTATATAAGTCGTTTTTGCTTTCTATTTTCGCCCCCAGGATTTCCTGGCTGAAGCTCTAGAAACAGCGGGCAAACCACAGGTCCAGGCCGTAATATTGCTAGCTATCTTGCCGGATTCACAGCGAATTGGCATCAGGCGCGAAGCACCACCGCACTTTTCTTCTCGCCGCCTGTCCAACATAAATGTAGCCAACCATGCCACTCAGACAAACCCTACATAGACCGATAATATAACCCACTATGATAGTTTCCATATTTTATTTTCTAACCCCAATAGTACCCCATTTCCCCCCTACTTTAAGGTAAGTTTTATTAAGACCAACCCTAAACCCTAAACGCATCTTAAGACAAGTCTCCTGTATTGAATCTGCCAGCTTTAACTGCAAAAACTCCAGGAGAGCAGGGATGCCGGTGAGGCCCAGCAAAGGGATGAACAGCTGATTGAGGACCTCAAAAGGCTTTTTAGGGTTTAGGGTTTAGGGTTGAACGGCTGATTGCGGACCTCAAGGGGCTTGGGGGACTCTGAACCTCGCATTTTGGGCCTTCAAGGGGACGGTATACTTGGGTAAGTGGGCTTCAGCTATGTGTATGTTGCCTTGAAAATGATATCTTACAGACTTTGAAAATGAGAACCGCCATTCGGACTCGCGTTTTTTGTTGCCAATTCTCAGCTAACCCTATGCAAGATCAATGCCAAGCGAACAATCGAATGTGGGCCGTGCAGTTTCTTGCGCCAGCATGCCCCTATCTGTACTTTCTGTCCTTCAAGCTACGCTAGGGAACAAGAAGTCAAGAAGAAAGGCGTACAGTAGCCCGAGGTCTTCGACCTTCCGGGCTTCTACTCCGCACTGCCATGGGTTTGGATGAATTGTTTGGACTACCATGGTGGTCAAGTCAGAGAATCGGCAGTGAAGTATAAATTGCGAACGCATGCACCCCGTCGCTGTCTGCCCTGTGTCGCCGGAGTCACTGCATGCTCTGGTCTACCAACAGTTTGACGGTAGGCGAGAGATGTTGCAGTCAAACTGGTTTTGGCCAAGGCGCTAGGAACACGTAGTTCATCAGCCTCATCAGGTCTTATGTGGCCGGGTTATCCTTTTTAACTCTGCCTGTCTGCCTTTCCTTTCAAACTACATGTTGCCCTTCTTTCCCAGCCCATGACACTGTGCACCTGCAGTTGTGTTCCTCCCAAACATCGAAACTAGTCAAAGAGGCTGACTGAATCCCCGTCTTCCTATCTTTCTTGCAGTGGGCGCTGGGATACCCGTTTCTTCTCCCTGCAGGCAAGCTAGGAGCGGAAACAAGAAGCGACTTCTGCCGCAGCAAGGGCAAGAAGGAAGAAAGCTCAGCGTTGCGCTTGAAAGAAGGCCCCCGCTTTTTACATCTCACCCGCTTTGTGTGTTGGCTGTCACCTACGTAAACTTTACACTGTGCGAACTGCGGGTATAGGATCATTCTGGCAGCATTTCTCTTCTGTTGTTTCTGCCTCTGCGTACCGCTATGAATTTCTTCGATCTCACTGCTGCTATGCCAAGGCACAACTGGTTGACTTCCACCTGCCAAAAAGCATGCCCTCAATGTTCTAGAGTTGGCAAGAACATCATGACAGCAACAGGCCTTAGAAAGAGTGTGGCTCCGAGTGAAGCGACCTTGGCATTCCAGCTGTAGCTCATGGACTTTGGGAAATGTCTTGGGGTGCTCTGGCGCTTGTGTGATCAGCCATGCGGATCATCATCAACACATGAATGTACCTGTCGCGCACATATTCAACACTGCTTTTCCTTCATCTTCTTCCAGATAAGCAATCCTCCTGCAATCTGCTCAGCCCTCAAATGCAAGTCAAGTCCGAAAGGCAAATCTCGCCAATGACCCACGGCAGGAGCAAAGAGTTGATCAACAGGAGAATCTGCGAAGGCGAGGCTTGCTTATGCTTGCTTGCTCAGGTGAACAGGGTGCGGCAATGTGAGCTGTAGTCAAAAGTTTCCCCTTAATAACCCCTATGATAGTCCCCTATGCAATCCCCTGTATAGCCCCCTTTAGGAAGTTTAGACTATAGCTCATCTGTTCAGGAGCAGAACTGCTCCCGGTTCTCCAACTACTCAACAGAATCAAGTCCCTAGTCAGACTTTTCAAGTCAAGCGGATGCGGATGCGGCAACAGTAGCTTTTGTCAACAGAATCTATCCTCCTGGTTCTGAGTAGTGAATATAGAATACAATCCCTATATAATCCCTGTATAAGACCTTCCCTTATTCCCAAAACCCTAAACAGTAGTTTCAATTTTCTTCTCCATTGACCCTAGATATTCCCATATAACCCCATATTACCCCTATATAAGCCTAACATAACCCAATATAACCCTAATATATCCGTATATTATGTATATACACCCCAGTAGAAACCTTACCTAAGTCCTACATAAACTCTAAACCCTGTAGTCCCCCTGAAGTAGATAGAATATGGCTTCGGGGTATATTATAATAAAACCCCCATATATCCCATATTCTATCTACTTAAGGGGGACCATAAACCTTCAGAGGAAACGTCTTGCTTCAACAGTTGAGCTGCCATGGTCGGTAGCTGCAAGGACATCCAGCGCCAGATGCCCCTTTTGTCCTCCAAGGCTGTTTTGGGTTTAGGGTTTAGGGTTTAGGGTTTAGCTTACTGGGGGCTTAGTAGGGAATAATGGAATATGTTATATGGGGATTTTACAGGAATTATATAGGGGTCACATTACTGTATAATATGGTAGGTTAATAGGCATATCATGGTACATTATGGTATCTCATGGTATATTATACTATACTGCTTTGTTAGCGAGCTGGAGTGCAGATAAATGTTCAAAGCCTAAGCTTCTACTCCATCAAAAGAAAGACGGTTAGTGCATTGGGGATTTCTGCTGGGATCATATGAGGCAGGGCTGCTCAGAAAAGAAACCAAATGAGGTGCATGTGCTGAAGAATGCAGGGTCCTTCAAAAATTTCATCTTGATACCTGCATTGGGATCACAACGGTATCTTCAGAAAACTGTAATTCCTGCGGGGCATGTAAGGTGGTGTAGGTTTGCCTTCATGTAGGGAACAACCCTCCAAAAACGAATCCTGGTGTGATCCTTCCAACTCCCACAAATCCCAGACCCTCGACCCTCAATATACTATAACCTATTAAACATATTACATTGTACTATAACATACCATAGGATACCATGAAATATACCGTACTGTACTGGAATATCGCGGAGGTCCGGAAGGGAGACGCCAAGGCGTTGCTCCACCTCAGCAACTTAACAATTCTCAACATGACCCACCCAGAATAAATCAGGAATATTAGGGTTATATTGGGCTATATGGGGATAATGGAAAAGAAAATGGAAAAGGGTTATATAGGGTTTAGGGTTTTCGGACTGGACAAGATAGGGATGCAATCTCGAAAACCTGGCACCTAATCCACAAAGCCATAAGCAGTGGAAGTGAGCTCCAGCTAGGTATATTCTGTGCCTTGTTTTGTCGGCCGGATGCCTTTTGCAAAAGGTACTTAGCAAATCTCCTGAGACCCTTGTTCACAGTATAGGTATGCGTCCTAGGAATGTTATGTATAATGCATTAAGCAAGTTGCAAATAGCAAGCGCAAATAGAGGAAGAAAACTCCCACCATGTCAAGCCCATTGCAGCCTGACTTGAACTGAAACCTATGCCAACCTATGCGGCATAACATCAAACTTCAGCTTACAGCCCTGTCTCGAACATTTTGCCGGGCTTCTGCGTGTCGGATGACGTGCGAGCCCTTCCGAAGTTCCTGGACACATAGAAGATAAGCATCGCTTGCACAATGCTGGGGTCATCATGTGCAGAGGAAGTGCAAGCCAGAGATACAGGGTCTCAACTGAATTCCGCGAATCTATCTGATCTGGCGAAGGACCGTGTTTACTCTGCACTGGCTTTTTTGAGTATGCAAAAGCCTTCCCTCCACTGATGTACACATAACACTTTGAGGTGCAGCATGGAAACAAATGAACCGCTCTTTCACCTACAAAAAGGAAACGTCTTGTACAAACAAAGCTGGCAACTGGCCACTCAATAATTTCATCTATATCCGCACACTGCAGCTATGCTTCCGGGATGATGGTGTTGAGCTCTGAAGACACAGACCTTTGCCGGCATCAGAAGTTGCTCAGCCAGAAGAAGCTGTACTCTCTGCTTCAGAGTGACACCGGTGTGACGATAACCAACATGAACGCCAGAAGCAACAAACCGGCGCCAACGAACCGCAGTACCCTGGCAGGGTCAAGCGGCGTCATAAACTTGTTGTAGCAACAATATCAGCAATAACACATGATATTCATGGTAAAAATGAGAATACACTAGACTACAATAATGGAAAATCACATGGAAAAGCATACAGAAAAATGGAAGCTACTGTTTAGGATGTCAGTTTCCAGCCCATGGACCGGGCTCCAGCTATGAGCACTTTGGGACAACCTGTAACTTAGCATCACCTCTGTCCACATACCTCTGTGCCAGAAATGGGCCATGTAAAAAGTACTTCCACACCACTCTCCCATCACATCCCCTCCCACTGATATTAAATCCCCCACCCCCCCCCAAGCATTAAATACTCCCAAAAAAATTATACCACATAAGTCAGATCATGGGAGTATTTAACATTAAGGGTTACTTCGAGGCCAGGCCACCCTTGAACCCTGGATTTCGGCCAATGCCTTGTGGGGTAGCGGATATGTAAGTTCTCCCACTGGACGTCTGTCGGATGCGGCGCCCGGCGACATCTGGACACACAGGAGTATCACAAACAGCAATCACAAAAATGACATGAGCCATTGTCTAAACTCCTAGTATCCCCCTCAATAACCCCTATAGTAGTCCCTATTTAGTCCCCTATATAACCCCCTTTAAAGAGTTTAGACCATAGCTCACATGCCAACCAGCAGCAACCGCCTCAGCGTCACAGAGGCAAAGGGAGGCTGGCCGAAATTGAAGTAGGCGTACGAGTGAAACCTGGGCGGAAAAAGAGTTCATCTGCTCCCAATGTAGCAAGCAGGCTGGCCATTTGCATTCAAAAGCCTTCTTCTTGCAGCCCATGCACTTCCAGCATGATTCTTTGTCCTCGAGCAGAGTCGCTTTGTACTTGCGCTCCTGCTCAGCAATGGATATCTATCAACAAAGGGCTCAGCGAGCATTGGCAGTAAGTTGCAGGTATAATTGAAGCTCCTTTTGGCCAACAACGTGCTTGGGCTTGCTTTAGCGCAAAGGGGCTCATGCGCTCTCCTGCCTGGAAGGTCACGAAGGCACCTCGGTCTTGAGCCCCTTCAGCTGGCAGTTTTGAGCTATCGGATGGCTGGCCGAGCGACTCTACACTACCTGACTGGCTTGGACTGGAGTCCAAGACACCGCTGAATCCGTATCGAGGATGTCGTTCAAAGTTGCAAAGCGTTAGCCAAGTTTCTTGGAGCATCTTTTAAGACTTGTAAGAGGACTTGGCTGCAACAGCAATCATCAACATCATCATTGCCTTCATCATCGGCAGCAACACTACCAGCAGCATCACGATTGCATCACTTGACCAACTTGACTATGTCGATCAGCCATCTTCATCTTTCTGATGAAATCCGACGCCTCAGAGCTCCTTGAAATCTCGGCCGCAGACGACCTATTTACTCCAAGCCCAAGAATCCTACGATTATGCATGAGAAGGCCTGCAAAGGAAACACCGCCTGCCTGAATATGCAGCTGCGGAGCTGCCGCTCATCCGCTTGACACACAGCTCCCTCTCCGCTAGATCAAGGTTCAGCTGGCCAACCTGCACAGCTTGCGGCCCAGGCGGCCAAGGCGGTCATGAAGCAATCCCATATTGGGATAATGAAAAAAAACTGGAAACTACTATAGTATACTGGGGTTATATGGGGATAATGGAAAAGAGAATGGAAGCTACTATAGTATATTGGGGCTGTATAGGGATAATGGAAAAGAGAATGGAAGCTACTATAGTAGTTTGGGGTTGTATAGGGATAATGGAAAAGAGAATGGAAACTACTGTTTAGGGGCAACGATCTTTCACCATGTTCGGACCGTGCGAAACCAAGGCAAGCTGGCCTTCCGCTCAAGCCGTCTGACTTGGCGAGACAGCCAACTGATGTGCAGGCGGTGGATGCACCTGCGACGAAGCAGGGTATAGGGTTTAGGGTTTAGGGTTTAGGGGTTTAGGGTTTAGGGTTTAGGGCTTAGGGTATAGGGTTTAGGGTTTAGGGGTCCCTCGTTTGTTTCCGGCTTCCTGCACACGTTGAGGTGTGCCCACGGTTCATGATTCGGTCAGTCCCTGAAGATAATCGCATAGTAACTCTTGACAGTTCTGAAGACCCATGGTCTGAAGACCAATGTTTCAACACGATTGCAATGGCTTCGAATATCCATCTTGTTGGAAGCTCAAAACCAGAAACTTACTGATTGATAAGTCGGGAATTTGGGAATATGGGAACATATTTATATATATATATACTTATCTACATATATATATACATATTTATTCATTTTAATTAATATTTGTATTTATAAGGATTATATTCCCCTATCCCCTAATTCAAGCCCCAATATACACCCTGACATACTGTTGCGGTTTCCATGTTCTCTTCCATTATCCCTACACAGCCCTATGTATTCCCTGTTTCCCTATTAACCCTTAACCCTAAGCCCTACCTAATAAATACAATATATCCCCTAAATCCCTACTAACCCCCAACCCTAAACCCTAAACCCTAAACTCTAAACCCCTAAACCCCTAAACCCCTAAACCCCAAACCCTGAAGTAAGCAACAGCTCGGTGAGCAGCACCTGCAGAGGTAGCATCGATGGTGAAGCTCCGCCTTCACGTACAATTAGGGGTGCCTTTTGGGATCCCTTAAAGGGGATATAGGAGTTATATTATAAAGCAAAATTCAGGGTACCTTTTTTGGGGGGTCCCTATAAACAGGGCTCTCAGGGTTACATAGGGAGGTATGGGGTTTAGGGTTCAGGGGCTTCCCAAAATTAAGAGTACCACTTTAGGGGCCCCTAAAATGCGGACTATAGTATTTTGGGGTGTATATTGAGGTCCGACAGCATATTATGCCAATAACGGAAAATCAGAAGGAATGGAACATGGAAAATTGACTGGAAACTTGACTTATACCGTGGTCCATAGGAATTATCCTAAGTAATTCCGAAGAATGGGAACATGAATTAAGCAACTGCCAGAGGCAGAGGCCGGCAGAGAAGGAACTAGCAGTCTGAGTCTCAAAAGCACAACAACTCATGTGGGTGGTTGTCTTATAATACGGCACCTAATATTTAGGGTACGAAAAAAAGGGACCAGAATTTTGACAACCACCCATGTGAGGCAAAGCACTAACCGGACTGTCCCTGGACCTGCCGTAGGGGCTCCACATACCTTTATCTTGAGCACTTTGAATGTTTGATTGGGAGTGTGAATAAGTGGTTACACCAGACGTCATGATTGTGGATGAACTTGCGCTTCCAGCATGCCGCTGCCCAGCATGACACTGCATACCCAAGCCATAGTGCAACCCCGACGTGGGCACATCTGAGAAGCACCCTGGAATACAAACTAGAAATTAACAGCTAAGCCGACTTCATAAAACCGTTCTAGACGAGTGCTCAGGACACGATGGACAGTGGACACAGCCTCCATCCTCAAGGCAAAATCCTTTTTCGTCTTGAGCCTGCACATGACACAGCATTGTGGTGTTGACCAGTTTGGGCGTGTGGCATGCAGAGTCGGCTATGTGGAAGCATCCCGCTCAATCAACACCTTTGCAATACGCAAAAAAGATCAAAAAAGGCGATCTTTTCGTTCAAGGGGTACAAGGCCGCGTGACCACCTTGAGTGCAAGGACTTGCCAACACTCCTGTCTCTCTCAGGTGAGTGCGTGCCTGGCAGTTGTCTCTGTGTGCCGCAGGTCGAGGTCGTACCACGTATCCACAACGAATGGCACGTGGACCCGCACGACTTCAGGGCATCAGTATGCAGATGCACATGACACACGTCTAGGAGAAGCTCTGCCAACGGAGCTGACTTAGGCTACTCTCGTACACTGGGGCCTGCAAGGTGATAAAATGAATATGATCATGTGTGCAGTAGTCTAAACTCCTAGTATCCCCCTTAATAAGCCCTATAGTAGTCCCCTATATAATCCCTTTTATAATCCCCCTTTAAGTAATTTAGACTATAGCTCATGTAGATTCATGTAGACCAGGCTTGAAAGAAGACAACAAGGCCTGCTTGCTTCGCCTGTTCTTCGGTGACCGGGAGCTTCTGACGAATATGTTCCTGCTCCGAGGGCTGCAAGCAAAAGGGTGCAACTGCAGACCAGCAAGTGTCGTCACCCTCATAAAGCTTTTCCGAGCTTTCTGGGCCAAATCTTACAGATAACAGTTGCATCTTTGGACTTTCTGAGCTTATGTCGCCATGTCATCGGCGGACCGAGTCACTAGCTCGCTTGGCATGTGGCTGTTTATTTCAGTAGAAGTTTCTCGTATCTCAAAACCGGCCTGGGCCTAGCCTACCACGAGCAACTGGGACGGCAAGCACTTGCAATCCATCCAGCCCACCCCACCTCAATCGCACGAGTGAGGGACTGCTCGACCATCTTAAACTCCTGCAGAACTTCCACGAGATCCATCTCTAGTCATATACTGCCATACAGGGAGCTCACAATTTATGCTTCACGCTGCAACACCGGGAGAGGCGATTCAGGCCCAGGAGCCTCCAAAAAGCCCAGCCACAGCGAGTGTTCAGAATATCATGATCGTCATCGGCTGTCATAGTTGTGACATGAGAATGCGTGCGTAGAACTGCGCTCATGATCATGGTGACGTTGGCCGCCTGATCGGTGAGCGCGAAGGGCTTCCCCGTTAGGTAGTCGCCCACGGGCAAATGAGTCAGCCAGACCGTGCGGTCCAGGAAAGACATGGTCCTTAGCAAGGGCGAGCTAGCCAGGTGGTTTTAAGTTAAGTCAAGTCAACCCGAGTCAACCCTTGTCAACGTGGAAAGAAGCAGATGCAGGAAACGGGGACATAAAAACGTGAAGCAGACACTCGCCACAGAAGCCCCTCAAGTCTTTGATGACAACGGCTGCTCTCCCCTCATTGCGTGAATAGTAACCGGACTAGTTGGCATGTGATTATTCGTGATCGTTGTCGTGGTGGTAGTAGTAGTAGTAGTAGTAATAATAAGAATAATAATAGTAGCAGCAGCAGCGATAGTAGTAGGCAGCAGCAGAAGCACCAATACCCTTCCTGCTCCTCCTAGGGTGGCAGTCGGTTCTTAGCCTCCGACTGCGGATGCATGGCTGACCGCACACGCATGTGCACCTGCTGCAGGCCAGTTTTCCTTTAAAGCGGTAGTGTTCCACCTGCAACCATCGTCGCTGTTATCATTCTACCGAGAAGGAAAAAGTTGTTAAAAGCATCTTTGCAACCGTTCTCAAGCGAATCTACAGTGAAATCACAGGTGGTCACCAGAGATGATATACAGCTGCACCTTACGATCAGCGGCATAAACTCACACTGCAGTTGCAGAAGCAACAACCACGCCGACGACGACGCCGACCACTGTGACCAGTACATCCAGTACCAGCAGCACCGACAACGCAGCCAACACCCTGCTAGGTCAAGCGCCGTCAAAATCTTGCACCAGCAGCAGCACAACTGACAACAGCAACAGCAGCAACAACAGCAGCAGCAACCAGAAACACCACTACAGTCGCCAGCACCAGCACCGTGGCAAACGTTCCAGCACCAGCAGCGCAAGCTAGTTCAACTTCGATTTGGTATGATTCCGCATTCAAGTCATACTCCCGTCCGTGTGCCAACTTCTTTGAGCATTGTGGCATACCATGCTGGAGTCTGGAGCTGTCCTGAGCTGTGGCCGAGTTGTCAAACCCTTCCGCAAAACCGATAGCTTACTGGTTCTTAGTAGGGAATAAGGGAATATATCATTCAGGGATTGATATCCCTTATTCCTTTTAAGAGCCAGTAAGATAGTCCCTCAGGCCTTCATCCGCTGCGTGAACATCAACACCACCAGGCCGAAAACAGCGGCCAGAAGGCCTTGCAGTCTCATCCAACAGTGCTTGCTGCCAGATGACGACACTGCGATGTCGTGCTGAATCCATCCAACTCAAATCTTTCATAGGTCAAGGATCAGTAGGCCTTCAGTTGCAGTTGCGAAGCCGGGGTGTGAAGTAGGTTGAGGGTCCAGCTATGCAACGTGCAGAGAAAGACGCACATCTTGCTTACTGCTGCAGAACCAGCAGCGGTTGAAAACGCAAGTTCTGTGCTTGACGTGCTGATTGACCAAGCCGCCTGAGACACTAATTACCCAAGAGAACTAGGAATAAGACAAAGAAACAGCAGGTACTAGAGCAGCACTGCAACATGAGTCTCATGCTCGCCCGAGCACGCTTCATCTATCAGCTCATGCCGAACTTCAGGAATCCCTGAGACAAAACCCTCATCCTTGCGGCACGATACACGTTTGAGGACATCATGCTCAGGCACCGGCAGAGCAGGCAAATCCGTTCCGCAGTGATGTCCTGCAGTAAAATGGGAACTCCCCCTTTCATCTTGTAAATTGCATCGAATCAGGGCCATCAGCAACATCCCTCGAAACATGTCTAAAGGGCGCGTGTATGTATGTGTATATACATGTATATCCCCCCCCCCCCCCGCACGCACCTACCCTTTTTGGCCTTGATAAGGGTTTCGTTGTCCAATCCAAAGATAGCCTTAATAAGCCCTAGTTTGAAATAGTCTCTAATAAAATCCCTATTTGGAATAGTCCCCAATAAGGCCCTAAATTTGGAATAGTCTCCAGTAAGGCCCTAATTTAGAATAATCTCTAATCAGGCCCTAATTTGGAATAGTCCCCCATAAGTCCCTAATTTTTGAAATAATCCCTAATACAGGCCCTAATTGGGCATGGTCCCTAATACAGCCATGATTTGGAATAATCCCTAATAAGCGCTTAATTTGGGCAAATGGGCTGGAGATCTCAGGTCTAGTTTGAGAAAGCAAGGAAATTATGGAAATCATTGGCCTTGCCAATGTTTTCAGCTCCTGGGACTCAAAAACTTTGACAAAACCAATGCGTTTACACAA